GCGTTTGCTCAACAAAAATACGAAGAATTACTTGATCAATGCCGAGGTTAATAGAAAGTCGGTCGTGGGAGTTACAAAAAAGCCTGATAAAATTACTTTAGCCCTGCTGTGCCAACTCCAGCCTCAACTCCATTCGACCTTTATCGATGTGACGTTGCGCAACAATTAAACTCAGCAATCACTGCCTATGTAGTTGAGGATCGACTCGAATGATACGGCTTCTGAAGTGTGATACAGAAGAATCGGCCATAATAGATAATTCACCGAACTCGTGTACGTTTATCAATAACAAAATGTAATGAATGAATTGTAAACAACGGAACGTGCCACCTGCACTTACTACAATTGTCGTGACAGCCAAGTTAGTATAACAATCATCAATGTAACACAGTCCTGATGCTCGTTTATGGCTGCTAAAAATTACTATGTTTGGTGAGCACTAAGTCTTCGGTGACTACTTCGTACGTTATGATATGGTAGAGATTCCGAAAGGCAATTTCAACATTTACTGCAAACTCCTTAAATTATGCTCTGCCTGTGAATCCTGTAAGCTCACAGTGAACACTATGAAGTGCTGTGTTGTGTTGGCACGTTTCGAACAGCATTACTATTCGCTATGATAACATCGATATCTGTTATGAAATGGAAGCTTCACTAATCAATGTTTACAAAATTTGACTGATTTACCAAAATCCGGTTTATAAACCCAAAAATCACTCTCGTTTTACTCTTTACGGATTTTCACTGAATGCAAACGGTCGGGTGAGGGTAAAATGTTGATCACCTGAGACAAAGACTACTGGCTTACTGCCAACGTATGATGTTTCAGGAAAACACAGCTAAATGCGTGTTCGAATAAAATGTATACGCTCGTAGATACAGTATTTCTACTGGTTCTATTTTGTAGGTTGCACAACACTATATTTAGAGGAATACATTTTTCGAAAACTTTTGGGGTTCGTTGTAGGGTACTTGATCAGTTGCACGAGTAAACCAAAGAATATGAAAAGAAACCGAGCACACGCTAAAACAGTCCGTTAACTGGTAGAAGTTCTTTTCATTTCCTGCAAATTATCACATATTGTGTAGTAAACATGGACGTTTCCAGACACCGACACGATCGTCTTTGAATAAAGTTAAGCAAAAACAGGGAACCTCATCAAGTTCGACAACCTCAGGAGCATCAACATCTTCAAAAGGGAAACCTGAGAAAACAACCTAAAGTTGGGAAAAAGGTCCGTCAATTTCATGAGTCTTTCGGAACGATTAAGAAGTTCTTGGTTTAATCAGCAGCCTCTACTGTGCTTCAAACACTCTGACTTCTGACACCTGCGTGAGACGTCCTAGAATACGTTTCTTTGTCTTGTATCCGTCATCCGTGGATTACATATGTCTCTCGGTGGATTTGGTCGCAGCATGAGGATATGTCGCGAATATTCTAATTGGTACGTTGAATTGCGGTCGCAGCTAGTTCTGCGTGTAATCGCGAAAGCCTGATATTCTCATGCCTAGCAACTTCAGGTCGTCAACAGAAACATTTTCTGGTCCTTATAGTTCCTAAGGAGGATCGTCTTTAAGCGTGCGATTCCTCTTGCAGTGCAGCAATTTCTGGGGTTAGTTAACCTGCTAACTGAGCTCGACATGACAGTTCGAACGAAAAATTGCCTGCAACTAATTGCTTGGTTCGACAATGTATTTAGTCCAGTTAACATCTTTTATAGTTAAATACTTAGGTTTTCTCGGGAATAGCTATTTTCGCTAATTTGTTTGTACAACGGATCTAGAACCATTTCTTAGTGAAATACGCTAAGATTTAGGGTGAGTATTCAAAGAAGATTAGTATAAAAAGAGACGAAGAAACCGCGGACGCAATTGGGCAAGGGTCCAAAAAGTCGCTCAGGTAGGAGAGAAGTGAAGGATAGATAAATACAGTGAAAATGAGAGAGGAAGAGAGAGGAGGTGAACGAGGAAGAGGAAGGGGAGAGGATGAGCAAACGGGTGCAAATGAGAAAAAAACTTACCTCTATTCGGAGTGAAGAAGTAAAGTCTTCCAGGGAAATTCTGCTTCAATAGCATGAATTTAGCAAACATTAAGGACCAGTGGATTATTTCGAATAGCGTGTATGACGATGTCGTTCAACACCAATAATTACGTGCTTTCCAGGTAGGTCCCACCGTGGACGATGAACCGAGCGTATCGAGTGACCAGCCTAATTTGGCAAAAGAAGGATAAAAAGAAAAGGAAAAAGAAGCGGACATTGATTTGGAAAAGCCAGAAAGAGATACTCAAGACAAGTCATTCGTCCAATCAAAGACTATTTGCAATAAGAAGTAATGGTATATGTTAAACAGTTGCTTATATGACGGGTTCTGAATCAGAGAACGGAAAATAACAAAAAAAAAGACAGGAAAACAGCAAGCAATGTAGAACAAAAAACAATGAACACCGACTTTTAAGCAAAATGGAGCCTGAGGTGGAAAAAGAGACGCTGTTCTGGGCACAGCACTTCTTACGTTCGATTCATTTTCCTCGCAATCATCGTTCAAACTTGTCTGCGAACATTATGCGTGTTGTTTCGGCTGCTTCTTGAGGATCGTATTAGTTGGTCAGTGCAACACAGGTGTTCGAGCCAGTATTCGATACCGAGCAATCACTAGCTCGTAGTAGAATGCTGGACTTTGTACGAATTTGCTACGTGAAACATTTTCCACGTTGCCACAGAGCACAACCTCAAACATGGGTTGCAACCGTTTATAGCAGTAGTAGTAATACAATGTGAAAAATATGCGGACATCTAGAATACTAAAGAATACTAGTTGAAAAAGCTGACTGAACGAACTCATGATGACCCTTATATTCCTCTTGTAATGGGGGCGTTTTGACAGAGGGAAAAATAGAAAGCGCTCAACAGAGGATTTTAGGAAGTTTCTCAGTTAGTATAAAGTGATAGAACTGCTTGCACAGAATGTTCGTGAAGGCTACACAATAGCGTATACAGAGAGTTAATTGCAAGGGCAGGTGCTGGAAACCGCATACAGTGGCGGCTGCTCATTCAGTACCCGAGCTGTGGAAAAACAAAGAACAGTCATTACAAAGAAGTTACAGAACGCCTTTCCAGGCAGCTGCCAAGCAGGTGTTTAATAGATGGCTTTGAAAGAATTTGCAAAGATTGTAAGGATTAACTTGGTTACAAGTAAATATAGTCGAAAGTACAGTAAATAGGAGAAAGTTATTATACTGACACTTATCGGAAATTTCTAGTTGAAAAGATGTAGACCGATATGGCAAGGTTGAATGACAGTGGGTTTGGAAAAAAAATATGGATACATATGTAGCGAAGTTAGTAACCAAACATATGGTGTTGGGAAATTTAATGGGGATCATTACAGCTCCGAAGTCATCATTGACATTTCAGTGCCTAGGTTGACTACAAGAGAATATCTGAGCAACTTCAGACCCAAAAATGAAACGAAAAAAACGAGCTAAGAGGCTGTTAGCCGTCTCTTTTGTGAACGGGACCACTTATGATAACAGTACCAGGTTGCCTCCTGCACAAGTCTTCTCTAATGCTTCCGTTTTTCTTCATCTACTAGCTTTTTGTCCGACTGACCGTAACTGGACGATTGACAGCTTTGTGAACAAGCAGGGTCTAGAGAACAGTTTAGGGCCAAGAATTTAGCTCATACGTTTGTAAAATTCGATGACGTAAATTTAAACAGAACACTACACGAGGCTCGCATAAGACCCACAGACTCGATGGAAAATATTTTAAAGTAGAACTCATAATCCTCGCTCAGGAATCTAGAGGCTCAGGGCGTAAAACTCTTGAAACGCTTTGATAAACTCTAAAATTTCAAAAATGAACGATAAGTGCCTTGTGATCACGTGGGTTCTAGTGCACACAGCCTGATTCCTCGATCTTAACCAAGCACATACCATGCCTATGTAAGATTGTGCGGCTGGTCTCCAGTAATAACTAGTGGACTTAAGAACATCAAATCGATGAGTGTTTAAGAGAAGCTGTTTAACATTTATGTATTAAATTCTGTCCGCTGAGGTCATGAGAATGTTTGACTGAGTGGGTTGCATGCGAATTTGACTCTTCCAGTCTCTGAAAAAGGCCGAACCGCCGAAACGTCATCCCGCACTGAATTGAATAAATACTGCTGTTAACCTCGTATTTGTTCAACGAGAAAACTGTGTATTTTGGAGAAAAGCATAAGCTAAAGAGATGAATATAAAAAATTCTGATTTCTACGAGCCAAAAAAGAAATAAAGAGGTAAGTGTATGAAACTTTGGTTTCCTCCGAAGTGTTACTGAAAGTTTTGATGTCCTTAGGAAAAAAAATTCGCTGATGGAAACAAGAAAGATAAGAGGGAAGCACGTGAAGTTGTTCGGGAGGGAGAATGCTCTAGAATGGCACGAAAACGACGATTCAAGCAAAAAGATCCTTGGGTGACTTGAGTTAGTGCTACTAAGGTTTTCATTTTACAGTGTTTTTATAATCTTTCATAGGTGGAAAATGCCCAAAAGATTGTGGAATACTTCACGATAATCATCTGCACTGCTTTTTGTTCTCGCTTATTGCTGAACTTTACCAGTATGAGATCGCCGTGAGCCAGAAACGGTACACGTTATCATCTGGTCCTCTTGATAAAATTCCCCTTGAGTCCCTTTTAAGAATTTTATCCCTCAGTACTATTTATCACTACTAGAGACTTTATCGTTATCAGAAACTTTATCAAACACTATGAGCCGATTTTATTTATCTACAAATAAAAGAGGATTTTCACCAACATGTATTCCAATTATTAAATATTCACTCATATGGAAGCTCTTTGATGAAAGAGAAAAACTTTGGCGAAAAAGAAACTCTGACATAAGATCCCACACCTATGGTCAGTGAGATTCTAACAAAACTGAGCTCGATGTGTAAAAGATTTGAATGCGAAAGAATAATAGATATACGTTAAGAAAAACTTTGATATAAAACTCTCAGATGATCGTCCGCACAAAGAATGCCTTGGCGGCAGCATCAATTCAATTCGTTCCTTTCTCTCCCTTCTACCGAGTACTCCTGCCTAAACATTCAAATTGTCTCTACATACAATCGCTGCCGCGTAGTAATGCAGAAACCTTCGCCGTCCTGGTGCACGATTTCTATGAAGACTGCAAATTGTAGCATAACCTACTTTCTAACAGAGCTTTCAATTAGAACTCTCTTCCGGTGTGCACTACTTACCCAGAAGAAGCGTACAGAAGCGCAAACTGAGCCTTCTGTCGCCGCGCTCTTCCGCCACAGCGGGATTCCCCCCTCACTCCAACCACGCCGACCTCCTGCCCAGAAGCTGGCTCACGAGCGCCCGCCACGACGTTCAGTGACGTTGGAAAAACGTTATCGATATACGTTCGTGTTCCTCGTGAAGAGTGTAAGGAAAATAAGAGACTAACACTTCGGCTAGAAGTGTTACAGAAATTCTTTCGGCGATTAGGTGAAAACGGTGTAATTTGACGAGAGAATGTGACTTTGAGGAGAGTGGTAAAAAGCAGTTAAGCGTAGTGTAGGATAGTATATAAATGCGCAGAGGTATTTGATTTTGTGACAGACAAGCAAGAAGCCAAAAGGTAAGAAACTAAGCGAGAAACTAAGAAGGCATGAATTCGAAGGCTAACGGTTTTCGTAGTCAGTTTTTCTGACATCGCGTAATACAGCCGAACCACACATACATAGAAAGATGAACATCGAACGCATCGGATGTTTACCAATTTCAATTTGTTCTTCGATTTCAATAGGTAAAAGGTTAAAATGAAAATAAAGCTTTCTACATTGGAATTCCAATGCCATTCATTCCATACATTCCAATGCCGAGGTTAAGAGAAAGTCGATCTTGGGAACTATTACAAAAAGCTTTCTACGTTGACCAATCCCTGAGGGATGCGCCATACATTCGACTTCATCAAGCATCGTTTTGATATGACTGAATGCATATCTGACCATTACAATAACTCGCGGTGGGCTACAGATGTATCCAGTCAGTGCTGCTATCCTCCCAGACAAGTCTGATACCACCGGGCACTGCGCTATACGCGCCCTTTTCAATACCGTATCAATAACAATGTGAATATATATACAACAGAAAACAACCTGATAATATTCCAACCTAAAACAAATACATATATATGTATATATATATACATGTATATATATAATGCCGAGGATATATATATATATATATATACATATATATATATATATATACAACAGAAAATCGAACGTGGGAGTTATATACATCTTCGATTGTTAGTTCGACTTACAGCTAACAATACTAATCTGAAGTTTGCGGTTGAGAGATATGGATTAATTCCTACTTTACACAAGTTTCGTCATCTACGCACCCACATCAAACTGTGACAAAGGCGAACTCGGAGCGTTCTATATCGACTTGGAATTGTTTTACGTAGAAGACCTCACATTTGTTAAGGTCACGACTGGAGAATTCAACACTAGGATGGAACCAAGAAGAGCGTCTGAAAAACGTCACATTAGAACCCACGGTTTAAAATAGAACGTGCACGGTGAATAACTATCTGGTTTTGTAATGGCGACTATAGCCATTCATGGTAACTCAAGGTTTTAGAAGGTCCACTGTGAACGCTGAACATGGGTTCCCCCAGTAAATCGTACTATAACGATGTAAATCACATCAAAGTGAATCGAAGGCTTTGCTTAACCGATGCCGATGTTGCAACTAAATTGTAAACGTGATCTATCGCCTATCGCCTCTCCGGTGAGACTATCGTCTCTCCGGCATAAGATTTCATTTTTCGTAGAAGGGAGTCCAAAATCACCAGAAACTGGGATTTATTTAATTCACTAGTCTGCTGCTGCGAAGATGCCGTTCTGGATAACATCGACGAAGAATACGATCAGCTCATTCAACATCTTCGCATTAACGCTATGAAAGCTGAGAGTTCGAAATTCACGAAGAGAAGTTTCTGTCCAGAAACACTCGAGCTGATAAGCCAGTGTGAAATCGCGCGAGTTGTGGTGAACCGTCCTAGCTTGCAAAACAGTGCAGATAGGCGATAAAAAAGGATCTTAAAGAGAGAAGAGCAGCAGTTGTGGTCGAAGCTGAGGAGGATGAGAAAAGCATTTGCAAAGCCCACTGGTACTTCGCGCGTTACAAAACGGAAATGATTGCACGAAAATGACTTTAGGCTTCAATCATATAAAACATTATTGATCACTGTTACCGAGATTTAATAAACATCGGTTTTTAAGAAGTCGATTGGTCATTCCACAGTATTTTAGATGCCACGAAGCTACTCTCTTACAAAACCTACGGTCTTCACCATAAACCAAAGCAAAGCGTTCCTACAACAGAACGCTGAAAACTTGAAGCTAGATTGGCTCTAACTTCACTTTGCCCAAACTCTGGAATGATCTTCCTCATAAATAACCTTCCAGACCCTATTCATTTTCCATTTCACCAGTGCGTTGTTGCCTTGGAAGGATTTCTTCCTTTGGATACTCGTGAAGAAGATCTTAGGACGTTTCCAGCTCTTCATCACATCAATCGATGGCAATTTCTAGAATATTGATTGGAAGCAATATGACAGTTGAGCACACTGAACATTATTTTCATAACATTGAGTCTTCTGGGATAGCAAAACCAATTGATGAGGCTTATGCAAGGTATGCTCTATAAACTGCCAGCGTAATCAGGGCAACTGCACAATTAAAGCAGACTTTTAGTCGGATCAAACTTTCTAATAGATTGCTTAGCCGATGGATGCAATCAAGTAGCACAGTGATTGTTCGGAAATTAGTTCTCGATTTGCATTTTATCTTACACGTGTTTCAGCTGAGCCAGATCTAAGGATACAATCTTCATGTCCTTCTTGGAGCCGCAGATCGCATCAAATTCAACATGGTCGCTCCACGAGCAGCAAGAAGCAAGAGGACCGACGTACGCTACCTAAACAACGTCTCTTATTAACGGCGGAGAGGCCCCGTCACGACATTTCGGTGATGCACGCTTTGTCGTCCAACCGTCCATTGTCCATATTATCGATCCATACGAGATCATCTTCATTCTCATTCGTTCTTGCTTTCTTTCTTTTTTGATTCCCATCGGAGCAGGCCGTAAGCGGTGACGGCTAAACAATGCAATACACTGATGGGCGGATGAGTGGTTTATCCAGCCATTTTTTAAACAATATTATTCGGTTGGAACCGTGAGTAACATGTGAGCCCTCGAAAAGTGTAATCGCAGGTTCGAAGTTCACCTGAGGCCCAAGTTCTACTCATTTCTCACCGTTCTTCTTAATATTCGGTTATTTTTCCATATTGTTCATTCACTTTAGCGTCTCGATGTTTTCAGCGCTGTCTGTCCTGCATTAAATCTTTTCAATTTCATCTACGAAATTCAAAATTTGCCTTTAATTGAGGAGAACGCGTATCATTTACATAAGTGCTCTTTGAGACTAGCAACAAATTTTCTCACCCTTTCTGATCTTTTTTGATTACGTTGTTCTTATTCTTTTACATAACTAATTTGTATAGGAATGTTATGTTATTACACAAAAACTCCAGTCTTTGAATATGGACTTTAAAGATTTCATCATGGAAATTGCGAAAAGGAAATCATGATGGGGCACTGACGAACACCAAGTTAGAGAATGAAGTGCGATTCCTGGAAAAATCACCATTTGTAGAGAAAGGCAGACAGTTGAAAGGGCGCATTTGTTTGAAATGCTCTACACTATGCGTGGTTGTTCGGTCAGTCTCGCTCCTCGGCAAAATTAGTCTTTAGTTCTTTCAGGCCGGACAGAATGGTAAAACGTTAGTTTGCGAGGATGAAGTTACTAAACCGATACATCGTCAAACACCAGAAAGTGATTATGTAGACCAAGACTGCACTCAACCAATTTCACGAATGAGAGTCGTATATATGGTTTCTCACTAACAGAACGAGGAGCGCTCAACGCTCCATTCTTTTAGTAATTTTTTGTATGATCGAGCCGACACGTGGTTAGTATAAACAGTTTTATTCGGCTAACGTTTCGGTGCTTTCGTCCTTCTCGTTTATTTTTATTGTTTACGTTTTTCTTGATATTGAGACACAATTGAACTCAGAGGATATGGGCTGTCTATTTCTCCTTTGACGAGTCGGTTTGTGCTACCCTACACCCGCTCGTAGTTATACACCTTTGTTGATGTGTTGGTGTGCTGTCATGTGCACATGGCGCACCTGATATACATGGCGTTTCAGTTGAAGCCACGTGCAAAATTGGCGCAACACATTCCTGTGACCATAAAAATATGGATTTAACGCATCAGTATTCCACCGCAAGTCATTACATAGCCCTATTATGCATTCGATCACGTTACCGATGCTGGGTCGAAGACGAATGCGTGGCCAGTTCCTCTTGGACTCATCGTCGCCTTATCTTATCTTATCTTATCCTTATCTTATCTTATAAGATTCATATTAGGGTTATGATACGGAATGTGGGATACTTATTCCATATCTTATCTTATTTCTTGGTTTATCTTTCCATGAAGTTTTAATATGGAAGTTAGTTTCGCTCAATATTTTCAACAAGCCAGTGTTCATCTGCACCCAGAGATGTGCTAACATTTTATCAGTGAGCTTCTATTGTAGACAGATCTCAGCAACCTATGTATAACTATTTTGGTAGCAAAACGGCTACAAGCAAATAATTTTAAGGACATAGTGTAACGAATAGTTAGCGGCGAAGTGGAGCGGTTCAAATCATGTAGAATATTAGCCACGCGGCTCTTTTAGTTGCTAGAAAATCTACCAGCCTCAAACGCCGGTAATTAACCCTTTTGTATACATAAATGCAACGTTTACTTTTCATTTTTTGCCTTTTATTATTTTTATGGCTGGGTATTAAGCGAAGTGCAACCACAAGATTGCTGAGATATTTGCGAAACTCCGGACCGCAGGTTTATGCGGTAGGGAACGAACGCGCTGTTGTCCTTTCCGGGGAGTAACGCGTTCACCACCACACCATGCAGGTCCTTCGTTTAGCCTGTCTCGCAGCTAGTTCTATCGATCTGTTCAACTACAGCCTTAGCTTAACTGGGTTCAGTGCCGACGTGGGCTCCCCAGATCAATCCCGTTGACAGGTAATTGCTGACGGCATAGATCGATAGAACTAACTGAGAGACAGGCAAAACGAAGGACCCGCATGGTGTGGTGGTGAACGCGTTACTCTCCAAAAAAGACAATAGCGCGTTCATTCTCCACCGCAGACACCTGTGGTCCGGCGTTTTGCAAATATCTCAGCAATCTTATGGTCATAAATACAACGTTAGTAACATAGTAATAACGACAGAGAAGCAGTGATAAAAGAATCACGCAAGTTAAAGCTATGTGGTGCTATGGCTAGTAGTTCATCTTCTTCAAAACGTGGATTAGTGAAATTGACACGCAATCCACTCAGTCAAAGACCGTCAAAGAATTTTAGCAGACAAGACCAAGATGCGTTACATAAGAACGACAAAGAAGAAGTAGGGCATTGCCACCACCCCTTTTCCTCGAGCGTTGTTTAGTGAGCATAACATTTCCAAAAGTTTCGGAAGAAACTCTCGGAATCCTTAACTGCTACCGCAAGCGAGTGTTTACTTCTAACCTCACAGCAACGTAAAATTGTGGAATACGACAGGTTCGAAAACTATTAAAGTCAAGAACTACTGAACTGTCAGTTAGTGATAAGGGAGGAGATTTTGTAGTAATAACTCGCCGGTTAGATGTTGAGATAATGAAAAAGCGTCTTAAAGATACTCCGCTCTTTATCGCACATCACCTGTGAAGGAGTTCAGAAGCCAATAGCGAAGGCTAAACACGAATATGTCAAAGTGGCAATGGCGGCAAATTTAAAATCATTTGTTATTTCGCAGCTTAAAACTGAATTGCAAACACGGCCCGTCCTGTACTTGCTTATCACAACTCATAGGTCAGCGTCCACCGGCGATGTTTTTGTTACGACCCCTGAGCATTCAAGGTTAGACCTATCCTCAATTGTGTAGGCGGTAACACATGCAGAATAACTTGGTTCATAAACCTAATACTTCGCTTGTACATGTCCCAGCCTACCTCACGATTACTCAGTTATTTCTGAATCGTCTAACTAATGCGCGTCATAACAATGAGTACGTGATGGAGTTCTTCCACGTTTCGGCCCTACCCTTTGTACTAAAGTATTGAATGACCGCGCTATGAAAGATGCCTTCGAACTTCTTTTGCAACACGAAGGAGCAATAGACGTGTGCAGCTTTTCGATTCAGCAACTCATGGACCTGTTGAGGGAGTGGCAGTGCTCACCCATCGAAAGATCTCTGCGGGGTCGCCAAATTGGTACTAAACTTATTTGGGAGGAAATCAACACTGCCTTGATACACTAACAGGAGTCATTATAAAAGCCAGATATGCATCCAGTCACCTCCAACCATGCTTAATGAAGATGAATGGATGGTACATTCCTAAGGAATCGTTCAATGACGACAGCATAATCTTTATCTTTATCCTGTCGCCTATACAACACAGAAAAAGATGGACAAATGTTTTGAACCGCTAAACAAACTGTCACCTCTATCAGCTGTCACCTGTAGTGCCGTTGATCGTCAAGTGATTCGAGTGGGCGCTAGTAAATGTTCCATTTTCTATGTCGCATGAAAGAGTAGCCCAGCAGGTTCTGCTCGCTCTAGGGACCCGTCGAGCATCATATCTTCCTTTTGGGCTTTTCGTGAAGAACTCTGACCATCAGGTCGGTGGTCTTCCTCTAGTACGTTTGACATCCCAAGGAATCCAGCCACTAACGGCAACTGTCCATCTATTGTTGTCCATACGCATTACGTGTCCGGCCCACCTTATCTTTGAAAATTTGGCGTATAGAACGGCATCTCGGTTTGTTGATCGTTGGCACAGGTCGGAGGTTCGCATCCATTCCCTTACTTGTGTAAAACGGGATACTCCTAGCATAGCCCCTTCCACCGCGCGTAACGCTAAGTGATCTTTCTACTTACACATCGATCAGGTTTTTCTCGCATACGTTAGGACAGGAGGTACAGCTGAGTCGAAAAGTGGGCAAGGAGTTGGGTGTTCTTTGTTCTCTTCTCTACATCTGCGATGCTGTTGAAAGCTCGCAAGGCCGCGCGCTTCCTTCTGCTGAGCTCTGGAGCTAAGTCGCTCATCATATTGGTTTCCCGACCTAGATAGACATAACTGGAGCATTCGGAGATATTCGTTACGTTGAGTGTGAACGGGGCATACGAAACCAGTCCCTTTCTCATAAACATCGTTTTTGTGAGATTTAGTCAAACACCAATCTTTCCATAGGCTTTATCAAAGTCGGCAAGCATTCGTTCCGCTTGGCTATTGTTTGTTGTTATAAGGACGATGTGAACAGCAAAGCGAAAATAGTGTAACTGCCAACCATCGATTTTCACTTCCATGTGATCCCATTCCAATGTTCTCATGACGTTCTAGAGGGTGGCGATGAATAATTTTGGCGAGATGGTGTCGCCTTGCCTAACCCCTCTTTTGACGTTAATGTTA